GGTCCGATAACAAAATCTATCGCTAAGAGAAAAGTAGAAATGAAATAAATTTTTTCTCGATACATCTCTCACTTAATTTACCTTATTCGAATTCTTAATGATCGGAATTTTAAAGTCGTCAGTAATAGTGAAAAGAGACCGTAACCGAATTAATAAACTGTCGGTTTAATTAGCTCTCTGGTATAAAATATAAATCAGATGTGTTTTTTATGTTTCTCTGTCAAAAATTCGATGACTTATTTTTGCAATTTCTCTGAATGCAGTATCTACGGTTTTTAATTAAGAATTAACTACTCTTAAAAAATAAACGCATAATTAATTTGATACTGTGTTTATTTAGATTTTAGATTCAAAATGTGGTTCGTCCTACTACTTTTAGTTGTTACAGCTAATGCTTTTCCAACTACTACGCCTTACACTACTCCTGATACTACTTATTTCATTTACGACAGTGTGCTAGGTATGCATTGTGATTTCGATACAAATTGTGGTGGTTTAGTTGCCTCTTCCATGTGTCTTAATAACATATGTGTTTGCAGACCGGGATTTATTCCGCAAGGTATTATGAATTGTGTCTATTCTAATGGTAGGAACAAGTCACTAACTACTAGTTATCTATAAAATTATATGTAACTATTTCTAGGCCGATAAAAAATAACAACCAATCAAGTTTCAACGATGTTACTGATGTAATGGTTGACGATTTTCTTATCACTATTATCGATTTTTTGATTAAAAGCACAAATAAATTAAAATTTCGAAAATTTTTCATATTGCTCCTTGTGTTTGATTGAACATTGCTCATTTTTATAGAGATCGACGTATCTAAGATATATACTGTAATAAGTCAAGGAAATTTATCGATGCCCAGAGATTAAAATGCGTTATACCCAAAATCTGTAATATCTCTTCTCAATAAACAACTTCAAGTTTGTGAGCAGCTTTCAATTGACTGTTATTAATATACTAATCGAATTGATTGAGATAGATGTATTCTATATAGTACACCATCTATCGTTTTCCTCCAAATTGATAAAACATTTTTTTAAGCTACTAGATGATTGCATAAGTCAACAGCACACATGTTACACATTGGAAGATGTATTCAAACCAAAGATCACAGCTAAATAAAACGAAGAAATTGTTTAATTAGAAAAAAGGTCAGAAATCAAAACAGGTCACACGAGTTGACCATGAGACAGAATTGTTTACAAGTTTATAGTTGACTTAAGCATTTTTATTTTGTGTCCATATATGGCATTCAAACGTCAAACAAATGCTATTCCAACGGTTGGTCGTTATTCTCTTTGATCAGACGGCTGTTTCAATAGTTATCGAGATTTCTCCTCTCCAGCTAAGCGTTTCACTCGTTTTAGGTGTCTCACTCGAGTTCTTNTCGTTTTCGAAGATTTCCGACAAAATGCACTTCCACTAGCAAACCCACTATCCATCGTTATATAATAAGTATGACCATAAGTCCATGTTACATTTGTAACAATTGTGATCGTATATTGATTATACAAAATATTTGAAGCATATCCAACGTCATAACATACTACAACTGTACTTGTAGCTGCATCGTTAAAACAGACATTTGTTCCGTTACGACTTGGTCGATCAACGAGACTTGTAGCTTTATAGTTAGAATAGCAGGTGACGAGCAGTAGATTCAGTTAAAAACAAAGATTAGTTATGTTTTCAAAAGATGCCTACCCATTATTGAGAATACGGATTGGGTCGAAAAAACAGTACCAACTGGACTTGCTGAATCCTGTACAATTGTAGGAGTAATTAAATTCGGTGACGTATAGTCAACTAAATACGTAATGCACCAAGGATCTGACTGCAGATTGTTATTATCGATTGCACCAGCACAAAAACCTGGAGGACCAGATTGTGCTGCTTGTGGTGTCCAAGTCAATGTCATGGTCGAAAGATCTACGAAAATCAATATCATGAAGAATAAACGTTGTGTGTACTCTAGCTAAAAGACAACAAACTACTTACAAGCACTTGTGTTCGTTATCACACTGTGTGTCATTCCAATGGGTGAACTTGTGACAAAATCAATAATCTTTTGGCCAGTACAGTATGTCTGTGCAATTACTGTCTCAGTTAATCTAACACCTTTAAGATACTTCTTGGATATGGAAAACGAGAAAATTATGAATCGCACTTACCAATCGGAACTCCAATACATGCTAAAGAAAATTAAAGAGACACAAGATAGTGCCACTGAATACATTGGTTTACACTCATGCCTCTATTTGAACGATCATAGATGATTGTTAGACGACTTGCACAAGCACTTCCTGAAGGCTTGTATGTGTAGAATAGGAACTGTATTGAAACTGAACTCATGGGAGTTGTCGAGAAAGAATCGTCGTAATCTTCGATTTGCAATGCACAAGCATAACAGAGATGGGTGTGGATGTGGGTGTAGTTATAGTCTTTACCCACACCCAATATGAAACATGTCTCATCAAAGATCCTTCATCGACAGCACGATGGCTTCTTTTGGGACCCAAAAAAAGGGGTCATTAACGTCAGACATGCAAATATATTGGCCATTTCAGCTCGTCTAATGCCTGCCGTCAACGATATTCAATCTGGTGTGGTGCTACTCCTGCAAAATGAAACGAATAGATTGCAGATCGAAGCTGAATGGAATCGAATGGGAATCCGAGGGATTGGTTTAGCACCCGTTTCATTTAGTCAGTGTCCTGTAGAAATCTGTCAAATCATTGGAGAATTTGCATATGATGGCCGTGCAATAATTGATTCAGTAAAAGCCAATCTATTGATGTCATCATCGGCTAGTTTCATCGGTAGTGGTAAATATCTGATTGATCAATGTGGTGTCTATTTGTCGAAAAGTATACACAATGGTATCTATGGAGATTTAGCAAAACAACCGATTATCCAATTGAAATTTGGTCAGATGATTACAAACTTCGAGCTGGCCAGTTGTTTTTATCAAGATTGCTGTTCAAAGATAACCTCAGGCACCTTTGGTGATCATTCTTCGATTTTAATAACTTGAAAAGTGTTTAGTTCACAAGCGACTCAAGCATTAGCATTGCCATGTATGGAATTATTCTGTGGAGCAGGCTGTAGTGAAGAATGTGATATTGATCAACATGTGCGAGATATATTATCATTAACGATTATTCATCCTTCCAATGACGTTGCTCTGACCGATATCGGTCGGCTACAATTGGAAAAATATAAACAATCGGGCAGTCTTGTCTTGATGTATTCGTCACACATTTTGCCATCAATCGATTTCAAACACTTGCTACGCGTATCCATAGGAGAAGAAGAGAAAATAATCGATGCTGGTTGCTATCGTCATGCTCATTTGTACTTGTATGATATGACAACAATGAATCCTAGTCAAACATTCAAAGATCCACTGGGCTGTTTAACAATTTCCTATTGTCTACATAACAGAATCGATCGCTTTTGCATGCAGTCATCAGGCAACACGGCGATGTCAATCATTCATTATGCTCGTCAAATACCCCATATTAAGGTCATACTGTTTTCTTTGGAGCCAAATGCTTA